TGGAAAAGAGATTGCAACATGACCAGACCCCATTTGAGGTTCTTTCTCTGTCTTTGGCAAGCACACATCTCTCTGGCAATTAAAAAAAGGATTAAAAATAAATAAATATAAGGCCAGCCAATGGCAAGGTGGTTAAAGCAGCTGGATCTCACATGGCCGACTCCATGGTTCAAATTCCAGACTTCACACCTTGCAAAACATGCTGGCCCAAAATCCTGAGAGGAGAATGATGAGATTGTGGTATGACCATCCTCACGGGGAGCGCTTTCTCACTCCTCCCCTCCCCTATCTGTCTCTCTCCAATGAGTGCATATGCCCTCTGACAAAATAAATAAATAAAAAAAAATGTATTTAAGTTTTAAAATTAGGTGATTTAACTTAGATGAAATTATTAATAATACAATAGTTATTTTGTGAATGTGAATAAAAAATTGTAAAGGTTGGAAGGGCTAAGATCAGGCCAATCCTTAGAGAGAGAAGAGCCTGGACTTTAGAGCCAGACACAGGTCTAAGCACTGGCTGCTTTTTACAGGTTCCTTTTTCTAGAGGAGAAATGGAAAAAACAAGTGAACAAACAAACAAAAATGCAAAACCTTCCATCTCAGGTTGTTTTGAGATTTATACTAGGCAAAAGAAGCAAATGTGCATACACCATGATGAATAAATGGAGTGCTGCTGCTTGTAGTGATAATTCTAACAAGGAGTTAAAGTATTATTGTTAATGATACTGGGCCAGCCCTGTGGCCTTGTGGTTTAAGGAGCGGGATAACACATGACTGGCCATGTGGTTTGAATCTTGGCCCTGGTGGCTTAAAAACATGAAAAACAAATGATAAGAAACAGAATGTCAGTATCTCCTCAAAGTCATTGTATAACTGTAAGAGAACTGTAAGTAGATTCTGAAAAATATTCCAAAACAGTGCTGAGGAAATTAGTTTAATTTTGGATTGAAAGCATGATATTTGAATATTATAGCATGTAAAGTTTTTATTGTCTCATTTCTTTATTGGAGGGGAGGGATATAAGTTTGTTCACAATTTAAGGAAAATAATAGTTTCTTAGAAAAACATTTCTTTGGGACCAGCAGTTAGCGTAATGTAGCCGACCGTGGTTCGCTGAACTCCCATGTAGCTGACTGTGGTTCGAGTCCTGGACCCAGTGGCTTAAACTCATGCCAGGCATGTGTGCATGCGTGCCCAAGATCCCGAGAGGAGAATGGAGAAGAAGGGATTGCGGTGTGGCCATCCCCCCGGGGAGTGATTTCTTGTTTTCTGTCTCTCTGTCTTTCTGGCGAGCGCACGCACCCTATAGCAAAAACCTCTCAAAAAAAAGAAAAGAAAAACATTCCTTTAAGCCAGCTTTGTAGCCTGGTGGTGAAGGGAGGTGCATCTCACATGGCTGACTGTGTGGTTTGAATCCCAGCCCTGGTGGCTTGAAAACATGCCAGACTCCAGGGTGCATGTGTGCCCCAAATCCCACCAGGATGGAGAAATGGAGAAGGGTTAGTGGCATGATCACATCCCACTGGGAAGTGTTTTCTCCCTCCCTCTCTGTTTGTCAAGCTCATGTGCCCTCTGGGAAAACATAGAAAAGAAAAAACATTTCTTTGAAGATGACATTGCATCAGAAATTGTGAGTTTCTGTGAAAGGGATGATGTGCATTAGAAACCCTAGTTCAGAGACATGTTTACTTCCTTTTCCCTTCCAACGAAGATAGAAAGTTGACGAGAGGGGCTGCGAGGTGACACGGTGCTGTGCTGACCCATGGTGCTCGGCACCGTGTCAGGCCCACCTGGGAGGTTCTAGGTTTGTGTCCAGAGACCTCCTTGAGTATTCTGGGCACAAACACGCCCGTGATCCCGGCTGGCCAGGGCTGGGAGTGGATCAGTAATGTCAGAGACCCTGTTAGGGGGATTGTCTTTCTTTCACTCATGGAAGTAATAACTGAATAAACTTTTGTTTTAAAGTTGACTTTGAATGTTACATTTTAATTTTTGCCATATTTGCCCAGGTAAACTTGGACTAGGGATACACACTTCACCAAGATTATCATTAGCTTGTATGCATGAAGAGGAAGCTACGGGTTCTTTAAACTGTAAATGTCCTATAAAAAGTAGGAAGTTTATCCAGAAAAACACATGCATTTGCTGTATGTAGCAGAGGGAGTTCTTTTAGTGTGGTAACTTGAATTTGTCTAAGTTTTCAGTATCTAGATTAATATTACCCAATTGTATAAAATATATCAGAATTAGATCCCTGTAAATTGATCAAGACCGATCAGTCATATATGTGTGTGTGTGTGTGTGTGTGTGTGTGTGTATTATTCCCAGAGGGCACATGTGCTTGCCAGAGAGACAGAAGAAGGGAGGAAAAGAAAAAAAGCCCCCTTCAGTAGCCATGGTCATGCTGCAGTCTCTTCTCTACTTCTCGATCCTTTTGGCGCTTTGGGCACACATGCATACATGCTCAGCATACTTTATAAGCCACAGGTCAAGATTTGAACCATGTGGTTGACCATATGGGATCCAGCTCCCTTAACCACTAGGCAACAGCCTGGACCTGTCTCATCCATTGCAAAGAACATCTTGTAGATGAGCAATGATGACGGAGCAAGCAGGGAGGGGTCAGTGTCACGGGGACGCTGCAGTGCTTGTGGGGTGCAGGAGTCTTTCAGGTCCAGCTTGCCAAAGGGGCTGATGGTGCCCTTCCCTAGTTTCCAGGCTGGGAGGAGGGTGAGCTGTGGGCCTGGCCTTCAGTGACCAAGCCTGCATCTCTCATTTTTCTCTGATTTCTGCTCTTTCAAACAGGGTAACTTCTTTCAGAACATTGGTTCCATCACCCTGTTTGCTGTGTTTGGTACGGCAATCTCCGCCTTTGTAGTAGGTGGAGGAATTTATTTTCTGGGTCAGGTAAGAAAAACATCTTTGAAAAACTTTGGAACTTTTCTGTTCTCCGAGCCAGCACAGGGTGTGGGGGTAGGGATGTCTCATGGGTCCCTGTTCACTTTGGAGTTAATGCCCTGAGAGGAAGCCCCAGCTCACATGAGGCACAGTAGATCTTCCCATTGTAACGCCATCAACTGCATCAAGCAGACTGAGTTGGGGTGGAACACTGTTTTTGTGATAAAAAGTTGCATTTTAAACTCGAAGATGGGTCCCAGTCTGTTCACTCAGTTCTAAACTGTCCACCCGTAGAATTACAAAGTGTTTTCCACCATGGCCTCACCCCTACCCAGCTGTGCCAATTGGATAGTCTGTACTCTGGGTTTTGAAACAATTTGAACTGATTTAAGCCAAATGGACCTGGAAGGGAGTGTGTGTGTTTTGTGGTATGCATGACCATGAACGTCAGAGTTCTTCTCGCGGGGTGTCAGTCGTGGAAAGTCTGCCTGCCTCGGTTCTGAAAACTAAGTGGAAGTTTCGGGATCTGGTGACTGGCCAGTTTCCCTTACTGTGTTGCTGTTTTTTCTCTTGATTGCTAAAGCCCATTTCATCTGATTTTCAACTTTATTGCTGCCTCAGAGGCACCAAGAAAAGTCTGTCCTATAACTTTCTTCATTGCTCAGCTCTCAGTATCAAATAAGAATACACTTTACAAAGGAAAGGACAATGAAGTGGGCTTCTAGCACGGCAGCACTCCGCCCCACACTTCTGCTGTGTGGGGATCCGAGCACGCTTCAGCGACGACTTAGCAGCATTCTTTATTTCTCAAGTGGTTTGGGGACTGAAGATTAATGTCCTTATTAGTTTGTAGTAAAGCACTAATGGACATTGTAATCTTCTTGACTGTTCTCCAGGGTTCTTTTTTGTGTCTATGTGTTTGTGTGTTTTATTTTGCAGGCTGACGTAATCTCTAAACTCAACATGACAGACAGGTAAATCTTTCACACCGTAACGCCATGTGACCGCTTTTCACACTCAGGAGACGTTCTTCACATTGCTTCCTGGGTGTGGTCTACTTCTCTGTCGCCCCAACCCTTTCGGAATTAGTGTCTGAAATGAACCATAGTTATATTGAGGACTTTTGAAGATCCCTGATCAGACCTGATTAAAGTGATGGATTTAGTTTAAACTCTGGAGGGAATAATTTTGTCCCTGAACTGCCCTACCTGCACGCACATGTACACACACACACACACACACACACACACACACACACACACTGCCCTACTGTACTTTATTATTATTAAGAATCATATTTGGCTCATTTCTAAGGCTTTCCAGTAGCCATAATGAAATATAGTCTTCTTTATAGATGAGGTTTGGAATGTGGAGGGAGGTGGGAATCTGCCGTGGGGTCCCCTCCAAGCCTGGGGGAAAGCAGGCAGGGTCAAGGGCTCTATTGTGGATATCCCTTGCATCTGAAGCCATTCCAGTGAGCACTGCCCAGTGAGCTGCTGCCTTGGAGCCCCATCCAGGAACTCCGATAACTGGCTTAGCCAGAAGCCCCCCAGGCAGCTTTCTCTCAGATGGTGCCAGCTCTAGTGCTGCAACAGTGCCTGGGCAGGGTGCAGCCTGGTGTCCCCTCGCTGAGAAGGCCCACCAGTATGCGGCCTCGCTCGGAGTTTCTGTGTCCACTGTCAGCATTCGGTTTGCTCTTGGGGCATGGCTGGGGAACAGGGCCAAGGTCTTCCTGTGGAGCCAGCCAGAGCTTTCCATCTGTAGCAGCAACCGAGCAACTTGGGACTAGAATCTTGGAACCGTTTCCATGGGAAATTGCAGGGAGCGCCTTGAAGTAGATACAGTCTTTGCACTGACACTGCAGGGCAAGCGGAAGCTCTAACAGAGTACTGCTGGGTGGTACGAATAGAAGAAACCTGCGTGCTGGCCGGAGGTGGCCAGGAGAGACTTGTTTAGATGACCCCAGCTGCGGTCAGTGTAGAAAGCACGCAGCTTTACCTCCCTATGAAGGAATAAGCCCAGAACGGCTCGCAGCCGTGGTCATCTCCCTCAGAGTGGTCCGGTGTGTCCGACCTGCTTTTCTCCATCTGTCCTTTCTCAGTCCACAGCCAGCTTCCCCTCGGGGCACCCTATTTCTTCGCCTCTAGGCCGAGGCAGGAAATGTGCCTGTGAGGGACGTGTTAGTCCTTCCCGTAACCACCCCAGCCCGAGACTTCCCGAGCTTTTGTTGTAAGAAGCTAGTGAAGGTCACGTTCATATTCTGTGGAGCTGGAGATTACGTAGAACTAGTCCCTGTGTTCATAGGGGTTTTCCAAGTGAAAAGAAATGCCCTAAACCCAGTGACAGGAGAGGAAGTGTCACAGCATGCAAGCCTTCTAACTTCTGGGAGGGGTGGGGGCAAGGACCTGGGCAGAGATACAGACAGTGCTGGATACTTCTTTGTGAAATTGAGTTGAATGGGTTGTTAGGATGTTGAGGTGGGAAGAAGGAAAAAAGTTGCCCATAGACCGGCAGAGTGAGAGCAAGGAGGGTTTCCCTGTCCTTGTACAGATATTTCCTTGCCCATTAGAAAGTGATCTTCCTGGGGCCAGCATGTGGTGTGGTGATAAGGCAGCAGACACCTATATGGCCAACCGTGGTTTGAGTCCCAAACCTGGTGGCTTGCTTTCTCACTTTCTCTTTCTCTCTCTGTCTCTCTGATGAGTACATGTGCCTATAGCAAATTTTAAAAAGAATAATAAAATCAAATAATTCATAAAGATAGAACGTGATTGTCCCCCGAATGGGCCTTGCTCTGAGGCTGTAAACCCCCAGTCTGGGGACCTGGAAGAGCCCTTACTGGAGGGGAGCTGGCCAGGTGTTAGCCTCCAGGTGGGACAGTGACCAGTGCCAGGTACACCTGTCTGGGGAAACCACTTCTCAGCTCCACCTGGTAATTTCCATGTGGAATATGGGCCCAGGATTACTAGATTTTTTTTTTTCCCTCAAAAAGACACTAGATAAATGTCTAGATTTTTATAGGGAATGTTTTGGAGAGAGCAATTTTGAAATGCTGACAACTTACTCAATTTTCCTAAATAGCAACAAAAAGCACCATGCGTGCCGAAACATGAGACCACAGACCCCTCATTGCAACCTCTGTCCTTGGAATGCATAAAAGTAATTTTGTTGCACAAGTTTTATTTTAGTGATATTTTTGCTGGAGAGTTCACTCTTAAATATCCTGAATTATTTCCTTACCTGGCCTATTTCCTTTTCATTTTGTTGATGCTGCTCTTTGGAGGTAATGAAATAAAACACATTTTCAAGTTGAACTTATAGCTTTTGGCCTTTTTAAAAACTGGGATGGGGCCAGCAGGTGACGCGGTAGTTAAGATACTAGACTCAGTTTGAGTGCAGTTCAAGTCCCACACCTAGCGACTTGCTTTCTCATTTTCTGTCTCTCTCTCTCTGTGGTGAGTGCACATGCCCAATAGAAAAATTTAAAACAATAATAATAAATTAAATTAAATTTTTTAATTAAAAAAAAAAGACTGGGTCAGGGGGCCAGCAGGTATTATGGACATTCAGGCACCGGATCCCATATGGTCGACTGCTCAGTTGGAGTCCCAAATCCAGTGGCTTAAAAACCATGCTGGGCACATGTGTGTGTGTGTGTGTGTGTGTGTGTGTGTGTGCCCAAAATCCCAAGGGAAATGTGAATAGAAGGAATTGCAGCCCTGAAGGGTGGTTTCTCTCATTCTTTTTCTCTGGCAAGTATGTGTGCCCTATACAAAAAACAATAACAAAAAAGACATGTGGTTTGTAGGCTGGTCCAGTAGCCTAGTGGTTAAGGAGCCAGAATCCACATGACTGGCTGCAGTTCAAATCCTGGCCCTGGCAACTTAAATAATACACAGGGCACGTGTGCACGCATGCCCCAGATCCCAGTAAGGTAGAGAAATGGAGGAAGAGCGATTGTGGCGTGACTATGTGCCTCTCGGGGAGGGTGATGACTCTTTCTCTGTCTCTGTGTCTTTCTCTGGCAAGTGCATGCACCTGCTAGAAATTGAGAAAACAACTGAGTCATGAGGTGTGACATGGAACAGCTCGTGTCCAGGTTAAATGACCCCTTAGATACCCACCTCTGATCCAGGCAGTTCATATTTCAGATTTTATCTGCTCATTGTCAGAAATACACTGCCCTAGTCTAGATTCCCAGTCAAAGCTAAATATGTTATATGATTTAAACAAAGCATTTCTCTATAACTTTTTCTTTTTTTAAAAATTTTTGCCAGAGGGTACATGTGCCCACTGGAGAGAGAGTGTACATGCACCCCCATGGGGGTGGTCATGCCACAGTCTCTCTGTTTCTCCTTCCAGGATTTTGAGCACACACGCACATGCACCCAGCATCTCTCTCAAGCCACCGGGTCTTAAACGTGAATCACATTGTCGGCCATGTGGGATCCAGCTGCCTGAACCACCACACCACCAGCTGACCCACTCCTCAGCTTTTCACTGTGGAAATTTCAGACACACACAGCAGGCGGAGAGTTGGCCCGGATGCCCAGGTACCATCGCCTAGGTCGACAGCCACCATTGTGCTAGGTCTGCGCTAGTCCATGTGTCTCCATCTGCCTGTCCCTCAGTCAGCAGGTCGCCCCACAGTGCCTACTCTCTGATTTCCAGTTCAGAATATCAGGATAGTGACAAAATGGAGAGCCAGGCCCTTTCCAACCTAATAGGACTCAGGGAAAAAAAAGTTTATTGTCGTAGAACCACTGCATCCCCAATGATGGCTTCTGTTGGGAATGTCTCGACCCTCTGGGTCTCAGCCCACTCCTCCCTGAACACCTTCCTCCTCAGCACACTTGCCCCACCAGGCTCCTGGCCCACGTCACCCTCACTCCAGTCCTCCCTGCCCAGAGGGCCAGCCTCTTCCCTGTGTGCTGGTCAGTGCCTGGTGAGGGCTTCCTTGGCCAGGGTTAGGCTCCATACACAATCCTGGAGCCCCATGAGATTACAAAGATGGAGCATGGGGGAGGGGTGCTGGGCAAGGACAGTGGGCGCTGTCCACTTACTGCCCCGCCTGGACTGAGAGGCAGGCCAGGAGAGCTGCTCGCAGTCAGCATGCAGCTTGCAGCCTGGCCTGGGCTCTCTGGGTCCCCCCTCACCTTGGCCACCCTTCAGGATACACTTTCTACTTTATATCTTTTATTTATTTTATTTTTTTTAAGAGAGATTTTTGCTAAAGGGCACATGTGCTTGCCAGAGAAATAAGAGAGAAAGGAAGTGAGAAATCACCTCTTGGGGGGGGTGGCCACACCGCAATCCCTTCTCCTTCGTTCTCCTCTCAGGATTTTGGGCACACACGCACGCACAGCATGAATTTTAAGGCACCAGGTCCAGGACTTGAACTGTACTTGACTACATGGGAGTCCAGCGACGTAACCATTATGCCATCTGCTGCTCTCCCTTCAGGAGAAATGGAGAAGGGACAGAGCACATACACAGGCCCAGCGTGTTTTCCAAGCCGCTGGGTCCAGGACTTAACCCGTGCTGTCAGCCATGTGGGATCCAGCTGCCCTAACCTTCACACCACCTGCTGGCCCTAGGATGTACTTTTTCAATGTCTTTCTCCTTCGTGGTTCCTCGTGATGTCGTGTGGGTGATGAGAGTGACCTATCTCCCTCCCTCCCTCCCTCCTTCCCTCCCTCCCTCCCTCTAGCCTCCTTCCTCCATGCTGGCCCTCAGCAAATTCCTCCGGGCCATGCTTGGTTCGGATCCTGGGGAGGCATCCAGGACAAAAGCAGTGTCCACCCCTGGGAGCCACAGCGAGGACAGGCAGCTCAGGTGCACGTGAGGACCTCTGGGAGGTCGGGCAAAGTCCAGGCACTGAGCGCTGAGCTGAGACCATCCTTGAGGTCTGGTCCTCAGTCTGGACCCACAGGCTGCCCTGGGTGCAGTCACTTCGGTCACCTCAGGGTAGCTGCTGTGGAAACGGAAAGGCAGATGACTGATTATGGAGAGAACCGAAACTGGCAGGGCAGCCCGGGATTTCCTTGGGTCAGCACCCCTCCATGCCTGCAGAGTCAGGTCATTCAAGGCCACCCAGTGACATGATGACGGAGTTGGCCCCTGTCCCAGGCCACACGGTGCCCTCTTCTCTGCCAGACCACGAGCTCAGCGGGGGGGTTGGGGGGCACGTGACTGATGGTCTCAGCCCAAGGCCTTGACGCAGGCCACATCCTTGGTCTCCTGTCTTACCTCGTGTTGAGGAAGTGGGCAGACCATTCACTCTGCCAAGTCCAGAAGAAGGCGGTGCCAGACATGCAGCTTGAGGGAATGGAGGGCTGGTGAGAATGCCAAGGACGGTGCACGTGGACTGAGATGACGCATCGGACTCCTGTGGCCCCCAAGGCCCCTGGGCGCTGGCCTGCCCCCCCTTGCCACTCCTGACATCTGCCCTCCCTGTGCCCGCGCTCTCTGCTGCACGTGTACCTTCCTCTGTTTCTCAGAGAGCCAGGCTAGCTCTGTCCTCAGGGTCGCTTGTTACCTCTGCCCCAGACCTTGGCCTGGCCAGCACTTCTTATCAGGTGGGTCCTTGCTCAGTAGGTGTCTCTTCAGAGAGGCCTTTCTTCTTTTCTCTAGAGAGAGGTTTTTGCTATAGGGGCGTGCGCTCACCAGAGAGACAGAGAGACAGAAAGCAAGAAATCACCTTCCAGGGGGGATGGCCATACCACAATCCCTTCTCCATTTCACTCTCAGGACCTTGGGCACACACTCACATGCGCTCAGTGTGAGTTTCAAGCCACCGGGTCCAGAACTTGAACTGCAGTCGACTACAGGGGAGTCTAGCAACATAACCATTATGTCATCTGCTGGTTTCCAGAAAGGCCTTTCTGAGCCCCAGCCTAAATGCCCCACACACAGCAGAGGACTCTTCCTCACGTGACCCCAGTTTGTCTCCTGCATCCTGCTTGCTGTTTCCAAGTCTGTCCTGGTCTCTGGGTGTTGCTGCACCTGCTGCAGAGGTTGAGCGCTGACTCGGGGCCCAGGAGCCTATGTGGAGCCTGGCACTGCTGCTCTCCCTTTAGCCGAGACCTCGGACACACTGCCTCATCCCTCAGTGCTCCTTCTCTAACCGTGGCCGTGGTAGTGCTCGCCAGTACTCTGCTGTGAGGATCCTCTAGGAGAGTTACTGTGCAGGTACTTAGAGCAGTGCCTGGGACACGGTAAGTGCCGCAACAATGCTTGCAGTTCCTGTTCACCCCAGTGCAGAGATGTGCTGGGTCACTAATACGTCACTGCAGAAGGGGTTCCAGCTTTACGGTACTGCTGGGGAGACTGCTGGTCTGGCTAGGGGACGGCAGCAGTGTTGGTGTCTGCCGCCCAGCGCCCAGTCCCTGGACCATGCTGGAGTTGCTGCTGGCTCTTGGCGCTTCGTTAGATGCTGTGAACGCATGGCGTCTGGGTTGGTCACAGATGGCACACTGATGACCGGTGGCTGGGCAGAGCAGAGGTCAGACCCACAAGCTCACAGGCCACTTGGTTCTGGCATCTCTGACCTAGAGGGCTGGACAGTATGTCAAATGTGTAAGCAAGTCTTCCAAAATAAAAAATGAAGTAAAAACAAAAAAATAAGTCTTCCATCCATCACTGGTCAAAATAAAGTGTCAGTGCTGATGGCAGGAAGCGGGGCCAGTCCCAATCCGTTTTGGAATGGGCCTTTTGCCACTCCACCCGGTGCGTACTGACAGAAACATGAGGGGTCTTCAAAGAGTTCAAGAAAATGAGTAAAATGAAGGAACTATTCATGGATTTTCTTTGTTTTTTTTTGCACCAAAAGAGTCGTATCCGAATTCCGTTTTTGCACAAGTCCCCTTGTAAGCTGTCACCTGCGGTTGCATCAGCTCCGGCGTGTGCCATCCTGCCTTCTGCCCAGCACAACTCTGACCTCAGTGCTCTCACGCGCACACCATGTGGCAGGCAGCCTAGAGTGCACCCCCTCTCTTACAGTTTTGCATTTGGCTCCCTCATCTCTGCCGTCGACCCAGTGGCCACCATTGCTATCTTCAACGCACTCCACGTGGACCCGGTGCTGAACATGCTGGTGTTCGGAGAAAGTATCCTCAATGATGCGGTCTCCATTGTCCTGACCAAGTAAGCTCAGGGCTGGGGGACGAGGGCTGCTCCCTTCCAGTGACAGAACTGGACATCCTTCTGACAAGGGCCAGGTGTTTCCACCCGGCTGTGTGTGTGCAGTTGCTTGTGCTCTGGGTGGTTGGCTTACCTGCTGTCTCCCTCCGTCTTTCCGTCCTGATAAGTGTTAAAAGAAAGTCTGAGACACAATAAAACCATTTTTTTATATTGCCAGAGGGCATATGCCCTTGCCAGAAGGAGAATTGTGCCTCAATCCCTTCTCCATCCTGTGGGGATTTGGGGCATGCATGCACATGCGCCTGGCCTGTTAAGCCACCGGGGCCAGTGTTCAAACTACAGTCTGCCTTGTGGGATCTAGCTCCCTTCACCACAAGGCTATAGGACTGGCTGGACACAATACAATTTTAGAGAATTTATTTGAATAAGAATCTACTTGTGAATTGGGGAATGCCAGAATTAAAGAGGTTTAGTTTTTCAGTGGCAAAACATTGAAGACAAGTATTTACTGGGAAAACACTGAAATGAAATGAAGACATTGCTTGGCATTTACACAGATGCCCCCTTTTCAGGGACTTTTCGGAAAGTCCCTCGTCACAGTTGTCAGTTGGTCGTGTAACGTAAGCATTTATTAGCAGTTAGCCAAGGCAAGTTCTACTTGTGTTTGCAGTTTGAGAACACTTAATAGGCCTAACTGCTCAGGTTTCTTCAGGCCTGGTCTTCATTTTAATTCACTTCAACACGAGCCTCAGTGTGTTGCAGGAATACTGTCAGGTCCAGGGTGACTAGGGGAGGAAAATCCACCTCCTGTGACCCATCTTTTAGCCCAGTGGTTTCTGAGCCCGGCTTCTCCTCAGCATCACTGAAGCTGTTATTAAATGTGGCATCCCCAGCCCTACCTACAGAGTTTCAGATTTTCACTCCTTTGTTCTGGAGTGAGTCCCAAGAACTTGGGTTTGTTTTATCTTTTTAAGGTTTTAGCCACAGGACAGGTACATTCCTCAGAAAGAGACGGAGGGAGTGAGGAATCCCGCTCAGGGTGATGGCCACACCACAGTCTCTTCTCCATTCTCCTCCTGGGACCTTCTGCGTGCATGCCTGCACGCACACACACCCAGCATGATTTTCAAGCTGCTGGGTCCAGGACTTGAACCAATGTCTGTCATGTGGGAGTCCAGCACCTTCACCACTATGCCACCTTCTGGTCCCTGAGCTTGTTTTCTTTCTTTTTTTTTTTTTTTAAGAGTTATTTTATTTAACTTCATTTATCTCGTCTTAATTTGGCCAGAGAAAGATAGAGCGAGAGAGTGAGAGAAAGAGGGAAAATTAGAAAGCAAGCTGTCAGGCCTGGGACTTGAACACTTGTCAGTCATGTGGGAGTCCAGCGCCTGGCCCCCAGAGCTTGGGTTTTTAAGAAGTTCCTCTTTCTCTTTGTCTCTCTCACTGGCCAGTGCATGTGCCCTATAGCAAAAAAAAAAAAAAAAAAAAAATAGGTCCCCAGATGGTGATGAAATCCAGGGATAAGTGTTGAGTGTTGTTGGAAACAAAAGCAATAGGCAGAGGCCAACTGTGAGATAGGGAGCAGGGCTCTCACGCATCCTGCCTTAAGATGCTGTTGCATAAAGCTACTTGGGAAACTGTAAATCTTTTTTGAATGTCAAGTGGGAAAGGAAATGCTTCTAAGGTTATCTCAAATGCCTTTATCTGCCGCAGGGCTATTTCCTGAGGACTTTGCTTTAAAAAAATATTTTCCATTTATCCGTGATAGTATGTGCACATGCAGGGGGTACAGGGGCACCATCCGTGGGGTCTGGTCACGCCACAGCCCCCTTCCTCTAGTCCGCCAGCCTGTCGAGTCCGTTCCTGGGCACTCTTGCCTGTGCCTGGCCATGTTTCAGGCTGATCTGGTCTGGGATTCGAGCCATGGCCGCTGCATGGATCCAGATTCTCATGAGCAGAGTATTACTCCTGTACCATGGAGCCAGCCCTAGTCTGCATTTCATGGTGGCCATTAGCATATTTGAGAGCTAAAGAATTTTGCCCAAAAAATAGAGAAGGCAGAGTCAAAGCAGGCAGAGAAAGGAGCCGTGGACAGTGCATCAGAGATGCACCGAGAGCATTTAGAAGCCAGTTGCATCTCCAGTAGAGAATAGGATCGCCATCTATCTGAGTACTGACCGTTTCCTCTGTTGTGGGATTCCTTGCTAAGCATAACCATTCTGTGGTAGAGAGCATTTCCTTGAAAGCTTTATCATGGACTGCATTCATAATTCTCATGTTTGAATAAAATGGCATCCCAGAGTGGAGAAAGCTCAGGCTTTAGAATCCAGCTGACTCAGCTTTGTATATTTGTCATAGAAAATTTGGAAACCAGACAAACAAAAAGTAAAGAAAGAAAAATCACACGCACATTGTTACTGCCCAGAGATAATCCTGGTGAACAATTTAGTGGAAGTGCATGTAGTATTTTATTTAAATGGGCCTCTGCCCCAAATTCTGTACTGTAGCTTTGCCTTTGAGGAGAGTTGATAAAACCTCCCTGAACTGCATCACTTTACTGGTTAGCGTGTTCTTTCTGTGCTTTTACTGTGTTCTGTTTAACCTGTTCCCTGTTACTGTCTTTCTCGCATTTCTCTTGGCAGAAGCTCCCATGACTTTTATTAGAAAATTATCACACATCATGCTGCAAGACCTTTGAAAAACCTGATGGCAGTACTTTGTATTATTTTAGATCTACTTTGAAAGCTGCTTAGCTTTCTGGTTTTTCCTTCTATCTCCTATCCTGACTACATGTATTAAACATTTGTGATAGTTTTACCCAACTAGGAGGTGACATCATGAGTTATTTTTATACACGAAGAGCTAAACTCAGTTGCTTTGTCTCTGATTTATTTAAAGCAGAGCAAAAAAAAAAAAAATCTGTCAGAGGAAGGACCTTTTCCAAGCTTTTCTTGGTCTCTGGTACAAAAAGGCCAGAGTTTAGGAAATATCTTTTTAAAATAAGAAGTGATGGAGTCATTGTGAGTAGCCAGAGGGTCTTACTAGAAAAGTGCCTTTGAAGGCCAAGGTGACCTGTGACAGCGGTTTCCGTGGTTGGATCCGGGGACCCCGTGCATCTAACAGCGCGTTCCCAGCCTCCTCCTCCACTGCCGGCACACTGTCAGTGAGATGGGGCTGGTTTAGGAATCAGCGCCCCACCGTCCTCACCTGTGGTAAAGGCTGGGCTTCCGCCATCAGCCTTTGGTGCCAGACGTGGCTCAGAGACTAGCCAGATTGACAAACTCAGTTCCCATGGGCGAAAGATGCTTGTAGTGGTGAGTACACAATCGCCCACAGCCGCAAGGCTGCGAGGGATACAGGGAAGGCTTCTCAGGTGAGCTGCCTGAGCTGGGCCTCAAGCCCGGGGGGCATTTCCAGACAGAGAACACGAGCCCAGCAGGCTGTCCTCCAAACGAAACAAGCCGAAAGCTGCTGGGAGCTGTCGTCACCCTTCCTGGGTTATAAGGTAGAAGCACGTCTTGTTTTTCACAGCAAGTCTACTTCAGAAATAATCATTTTCAAAATAAAACAATTTTCAAAATGATCTGACATTTATCTTTGCAACTGGATCCGTGAATGAGTTACCGCCATTTTTTAATGTCACCTTCAGAAGTGCCAGAAAGCAAAGTATCTTCTTTTTTTGATTTTCATTAACTTGAATTACATTATTTTTAGCTTTGATTTGTTGCTATGACAATGTATTACAATAACTGCGGTAGAGGAAAACTTTTGTTCTCTCCAGTTACGGCTTAAGCTTATGAACTAGATCCTGAAGCAGCATTTTTATTCTTTTTTCTTTTTGTCTGAGAGGTTTTTTGCTATAGGGCATGTGCGCTTGCCTGGAAGAGAGAAAACGCAAGAAATCACCCCCACAGGGGGGATGGCCACGCCACAATCCCTTCTCCATTCTTCTTCCAGGATCTTGGGCACGCATGCACATGTGCCCAGCGTGAGTTTAAGCTACCATGTCCGGGACTTGAACTGCGGTCGACTACATGGGAGTCCAGCGACATAGCTATTACGCCGACTGCTGGTCCTCTAAATTCTCCTTTTATTTGTCATGAGTACGGAAACCATTGCCCCAGTCCTGGACCTGCTGTTAACTTTTTGTGTAACCTCATCCAGTTACTTGCTCTCTTTGGGTCTCAGTCTTTTTTTTTTTTTTTTTAAGAATTACTTTTTAAATTTTATTTATTATTATTTTTTATATTTTCTTCAGGGTACGTGCGCTCACCAGAGAGAGAGAGAGAGTGAAAGTAAGAAAGCAAGCTTCCAAGTCTGGGACTCGGGTTGCTGGCCTACTGTCTCAGCTTTCTCTGTATAAAAAGCAGGCAGTGGGCCAGCCAGTGGCCTGGTGGTTAAGACAGCTGGATCCACATGGCCAACTGTGTGGTTTGAGTTCTGGACTCTGCTGCTTGATAAAAACACCCAGTGCGTGTGCATATGTGCCCCAAATCCTGAAAGAATGGAGGAGAAGGGAATGCAGCATGACCATCTCCTAATTAGCAGTGCTTTCTCACCTTCTCTTTCTCTTTGTCTTCCTCTTCCTCTCACCCCTCTTTCTGGATAGTGTATGTGTCCCCTAGTTCAGAACAAAAGAAAAAGCAAGCAGTGGAACCAGCCTGTATACCAGCTGTGGTGGTGTTGTCAGGGTGGGAGCTGGACTCCCCGCCTGTGGTTCACAGGTGCACATTGGAGAACGGCAGGTGGTCTTGGCCTTAAGAAGCACCTTTTCCACAAGAGCCCTTGTTGGCTCCCGCATTCTCCAAGGCAGGTTGTGATCTGATGAAAAGAAAACAGGGTAGAGGAGCTAGTGCGTTCAGGTGAGTCAGAACTTTCTTGTAAAGCTTTATTTGTTTTCTGCAGGACTTCTCAGAATCTTTACTATGTTAGTTTGTGCTGTGAATCTCCTTGGAAGCCTCCCTGAGGTTATTCAATCAAGCTAATGTTTTTGTCAGCAATTATCCTGCTTTGAACCGATACTAATTTGGGGTGAGCAGGTTGCATTGTGGTTAAGGTGCTGGACTCCCACATGGCCAACCACAGTTCAAGTCCTTAACCTGGTGGCTTGAAAATTGTGCCAGGCAGGAGTGCATGTGTGCCAAAAATCCCAGGAAGAGAATGGAAGAGAAGGGATTGCTTTGTGGCCATTCCCCCCAGGGCTTGATTTCTCACGTTCCCTCTCGTTCTCTCTCTGATGAGCACATGCACCCTATGGCAAAACCTTGAAAAAAAAAAAAAAAAAGGATGCCAAGTTATAGAATGCTGATCAGTAAAGCTGAATACTGCTATTGGCCATTCTTTCATCTACTGGCTCAGTAGAGATGTGTGGAGTGTGATTCGTGTGGTAGACTGTGATCGAGTTCCCGAACATGTGGCGGGGAACGGGATGGGCACAGGCTCGGTTGTCCTCAGGGAATGATCCACCAAGATTTTTTTTTTGGAGAGGTTTTTTTTTGTTTGTTTGTTTGTTTGCTATAGGGTGCGTGTGCTCGCCAGACAGACAGAGAGACAGAGAGATAGAAGGAGAGAAATCACCCCCCAGGAGGGATGGCCACGCCGCAATCCCTTCTCCTCCATTCTCCTCTTGGGATCTTGGGCACGCACACACACACACGCCCGGCGTGAGTTTAAGCCACCAGGTCTGGGACTCGAACTGCGGTCGACTATGTGGGAGTCCAGCGACATAGCCATTACGCTAACTGCTGGTCCCGATCCACCAAGTTTCCACAGGCTGTGAAGGAAAGGGCAGGCACCACGAGGCTCTCTGAGTGGGCCAGCCTGAGCAAGGGGACAGGGCTGGTGTCCCTGGGGAGGAGGGGCAGTAACCCTAGGACCTGAGGGACTAAGGGGCCAGGGAAAGGTGAGTGACCCCACCCTGAATGAGGAAGAGATGAAGTCAGGGAGCCATGAGGGCAGAGGGAGCCACATGGTGCCTGAAAGCCTGGACTCCCTCCTAGAAGCACCAAGATACTGTAAGTTGTGAAGATGGTAACCTGGTCATTTTAAATGTGCATTTTAAAGGGATCATTAGGCCACTGAGTGAATGGAGACTGACTATATCTCTAGGAAGACAGGGTTGTCTGTAGAGATCTCAAACCATGAGGCCACAATCCCTTCTCCATTCTTCTTCCAGGATCTTGGGCACGCATGCACATGTGCCCAGCGTGAGTTTAAGCTGGAAAGATAGGGCAGTAGGGGAGAGAGAGGAGAGCACAGGAAGTAGAATCAACAGAAAGAGACTTAATACCTCCATGTTAATAGTACATGATTTTTCCTTTGGAGATAAAACCTCAAATTGAATTTATGGCTTCTGACATCTTACTTTATTCTGTTATGGCAAAGGGAAAATTCTCTCAGTTCCTTTGTTTTTAGTTTAACTTTATTTACTTATTTATAAATTTGACCAGAGAGGGACAGAGCAAGAAGGGGGCAGGAAGTGAGAAGGCAAAGCCTCCAGGTTAAGGACTCGAACCATGGTTGGCCATATGGGAGTCTGGTATCCCTAAGCACCACGCCATCTGCCAGCCCCCCTCATTTCCTTTTTAATGCCTCCTAAATTCCCCTTCTGGGCCTGCACCTCTGCCAGAACCTCTGCCTTGTCTTTGGGCAGTTCCACTCCATTCTGACTTCTTGTGTAGCTCCAGTTTCAGGTTTTATGACAGGGTTCCTGTGCTGCAGACACTTCCATCCACTCCCCTGGGCCTTCAGGAGGAAATGCCATCAGCGTGCATGGCTCTGCTGCTCTCGCCTTGTCTCCTGCCACTGTCCTCCCTCTGCCCCTCTGTGCCCCCGTAGTCTGTCCCCTGTATTACAGCTACACTGAACCGTGTCCTTGAATGTGCCCACTGGCTGCGTGTGCCGGGCTTCCTGCCTCCCTGCACGTGCTGTTCCTCGGCCTGTGGTGCTTCCCTCATCTCTCCACCTAGCTGACTCCTTTCCCTGCCACCTAGCTGACTTCTTGCCCTAGCTAACCTGAACACAGCCGTCTCCTTAGTCCCCTCCTGACTTCCCCTAGTCATCGGGGTGCCTGTCCTATGTTCTCCAGCCCTGTGCTGCCCCCAGATTGCCCTGAGTTCTCGTCTTGTTCTCCTCCCTCACTAACCCGCGGGGAGCTCCTGACGGATGGGGACTTTGCTGTCATTTCTGAACCCCCAGAAACTAACACTGTACCTGGGACAAAGGAGGTAAACACAAACGTTTGACTGAACGGTGGAATGGATGAATGAGGACATAAACAAGAAATAAGTTTTAAGTTCTAAATTAATTTGCTAAGAACTTTATCCCTAACATTTTAACTTCTTTCTGTTTTCTTTCACTTCCTAGCACAGCTGAAGGTTTAACAAGAAAAAATATGTCAGATGTCAGTGGGTGGCAAACATTTTTACGAGCCCTTGGCTACTTCCTCAAAATGTTCTTTGGCTCAGCAGCGCTCGGCACTCTCACTGGCTTAATTTCTGCATTAATATCCTTTTAATATGATGACCGTGCAGGGCTGAGGGGATGATTCTTGTTTGCATCCCTCTCCAGCCATTTATCCTATACCTTAAGGGGGCCCATCTTAGTTTAAGGTTTGGTTCAAAGGCAGATTTTTATGTTTAGTTTTGGTTTAAGAAACACTTTCATTTTCGACTCAAGGATTTCGTTGGACGGGAAACTTAGGATGTCACTTTTCAAAGCTTAAAACACGTGTACAGTACTGCATACCAGCTATGCTTTGGGAGTTTCTTAGTTCCCAGAGACGGATCAGTACTTTCAGATGCTTTTCAGTTTCTGTCGCCTCACTTTTCTTATGCAGAAAATTGGAAGTTAATTTTATTTGAAAATGTCAAATTGAGAAAATCTTTACCCTACCAAAAGTGATTATCTGGAAGGATTGGAAAAGGGGTTTTCAGTGAGCGCCATCGAAGTTGTTTGCACTGATTTTCTTGCTTAATGACCCATAAGCATTTCCAGCCAACGAAGGAAAAGGCTTATTAAGGCTAACGACACTCACTGCTGTAGAAAGTGCACTGTGTCGTAACAGAACAGGCGGCAGGCCGTCTCCGCGTGTGCCTGAGCCCACGTCTCAGGGGTGGCCACCTGGCCCTCCTCCACGAGCAGTCTGTCTCCCAGATGGCCGGAAAAGTCTCTTTTGCCCGGTTATAGGCATGTTTTCCACCATCCTGTGAATTTTCCCGTCAACTTCTCTATCCAGGAGATGAACGTCTCTATTGAGTTGGCTGTCAGCTTCTCGTATTGTACCAATAAACAGAATGGAAAAGAAAACTTTTTCCAGTTCAGTATTTTCCTCCATATTTATCTTTTCTTCAAAAAAGCATCTGCTGTAATAAAACTGAGTGAATGGGTACAGAGAGTCCCATCTGGGCACTACGAACAGTGTTTGAATATGTAGAAGACTCTCCTTTCACAGGAGCATGAGTTTAGAAGTCTCCAGGAATAGCAAAGAGTTCCTTTCACAGGGCATTCAACCCAGAGTGTTTTTTGTTTTGAGAGAGATTTTTGCTATAGGGCGTGTGCGCTGGACAGAGAGACAGAGAGACAGAAAACAACCAATCACTCCCCCTAGTGGGTATGGTCACACCACAATTCCTTCTCCTCAGGATTTTGGACATGTACACACACATGCCGGGCATTAGATTTAAGCCACCAGGTCTGGGACTTGAACTGCAGTTGACCACGTGGGATTCCAGTGACATAACCATTACGTCATTTGCTGGTCCCTCAACCCCGAGTTCTGATGGCATGATTGACATTCTTCATTGATCTCCTCTGATATCAGAGGGGACGGGAGGGGACCAGGCGCTGGGAGGACCTAGCAGTGGGGCTGTCCTCAGTGTCTGCAGCCCTGCTTACCCCTCCCCGCCCTCAGCTTGTGCTTAGCCCGGAAGTCAGCATTTTTAAGAGAGTTGGCTTAGTTCAGTATTTATTTCGCCTACCATTTCTGTCAGGAATTTACATATCTTAGTGTTTTGTCAGACTTCCTTTCTTATAATAAATAGTCTCCCTAAAAAGAAAACATTCCATAGTGGTAAGTTTTCAGGCATATCCTCGGTCACGCTTTAATCCCTTTTCCCGTTTCTCCATCCTGCTGGGATTTGGGAGATGCATGCACACATGTCTGGCATGTTTTTCAAGACACCAGGATTTGAACTGCCACCAGCTATGTGGGGGATCTAGCTACCTCAAACTAGGCTGTGGGGCTGGCCCCAGTCATACTCTTGGGACGTCCCACAACCTCCTGTGCCCACCGTTTGCTTTATCTGGAAGGCAGCGGCTTTGTAACTTCTCCCCACCTCCCACCAACTGCCCCTTGACTCTTTTTCCTTGACAGTCGTCATTTACGTGCTAAAGCACATCGACTTGAGGAGAACGCCTTCCTTGGAGTTTGGCATGATGATCATTTTTGCGTATCTGCCTTATGGGCTCGCAGAAGGAATCTCACTCTCAGGTAAGTGACAGAGAGCCCCAAAGTGCCCCATAATAGCCTGTTGTCCTGCCTAGTAAGAGGTTTTGTCAGTTGGCTCACTTTCAATTACAAGAGACAGTCCCAACTCGGAAGGACTTAAGCCTTAAGGGGGTTTCCCGGCTCCCGAGGGAGACATCTGGATTTAGGCCTGGCTGGAGCCAAGATTCAGACAGCCACACCAGTGTCACAGTCACAATTTCTCTACCCACCTTCTCTCATTTAACCCCATTAGTCTTTTGAGACCCCCTCATAGGTAGGTAGCCTGGAGGGAGGTACTTCATGCCATGGTCCCTATTTTACTGATAAAAAAACTGGTTGAGAGAAACGAACTCAGCTGCGGAGGCTGCAGCTGCACTTGGTAGAACAGCAGCTCAGACTGGTTGTCTTTGAGTCACTGCTGTTGCTTACAACCCTCTGCTCTAGCACGTCCTCGCCAAAACAGATCATTCTGCCTTTTCCAGAACCCATATTTATAATGGCTGTTTGCTAATTCTGTGATTTCCCTTAGCTCAACATCTATCAAGTTTTCTCCTGTCATAGGTCATATATTCCTGCTCTTCGTTTAATGTTAACTTTTAATTAGATGCTAGTCATTGTGAGCTCTGTGTTGCTGAGTACAAGATTTTATTGTATTCCTTTATAGTTCTGGACTTTTCTTCTGGCGTATATCTAAGTCTCTTGAAATCAGTTTAATCCTCTTGAGGCTTACTTTTAAAAAAATTTTTTTTGAGAGGCGTGCGCTCACCAGAAAGACAGAGACAGAGAGACAGAAAGCGAGAAATCACCCCTCAGGGGGATGGCCTTGCTGCAATCCCTTCTCCTCCATTCTCCTCTCAGGACCTTGGGCACGCACGCACACGCGCCTGGCGTGAGTTTAAGCCACCGTGTCTGGGACTCAAACCGCGGTCGGTTACATGGGAGTCCAGCGACATAGCCATTACGCTAACTGCTGGTCCCAACTTTTAAAATTTTTAAATTTTACTATAGAGTGTATGCGCTTACCAGAAAGAGACAGAGAAGAAGTGAGAAAGCACTCCCCAGGAGGGATGGCCATACCACAATCCCTTCTCTTTTACTTCTCTTCTCGGGACTTGGGGCACGCATGCACATGCACCTAGTGTGTTTTTTCGAACCACTGGGATCAAGGACTGGAACTAAGTAGCTAAGTGGGATTCAGCTACCCTAACCACCATGTCACTGGCTGCTCCTTGAGATTTACTTTTAAATTTAATGCAGGTCCAGAGTAGCACTACCAGCTAAGGCCGTGCCTTACCGAGGCCTCCTCCTCTGATATCTCCCGTCTTCAGGGTGCTCCACTCTGGTTGGTTGGAAAGCAAAGTACTCCCAGCTCTGTGCCAGCTTCAGGAATTGTTTGGCCTATTTCTTTTTAGTGGTTCATTCTCCGGTTTCTTGGAATTTAATCCCACACATGGACTGATCGGTATCAGACAAAGGATTGCAGCTGTCCGAGTGCCCTTGCCGCACAGCTCCCCAGCTCCTCGCTACACAGCTCCCCAGCTCCTCGCCACAGCAAGGCGGACTGCTGGGCGCTGGCTTTGCCCTCCGGAGCCCTGGGCTGGAAACTCCCTCCCCCAGAAGCTGGGGCGAGAGGGCTGGGGGAAGAATGGCCACCTTGTTTCCCTTCTGCCAGGAATCACAGTCCTCCCTGCCCTTTGTTCAGCATCAGAAAATAGTTTTATTTAACATCTCGCATCAGATTTTCTAGTTGTTTATTGCAGGACAACAATTTATGTGGCAATTATTTCCTCACTGGCAGAGTGGAAGTCCCCTGTGGTTTTTAATGACTCAGTGGAGTAGAATTTTCCTCCCTGCGGCTCACTATCTGGAGTCACACGTGGCACTTTGTGAGCCGATCTTGCCGAGGAGGAAACAGAGGGGACTCTTGTTATTTTCTGTAAACTTCAGGGTTTTGTTTGTTTTTATTCCCAAACCAGATTACCCAGATAATTTCACTCTGGTGTCTGCCGTCAGACCCCCTCCCTCATCTTTACTGAATTCTGCAGAGTGCCTGTGAGTCACTCGGCTCTGGCCTTGCTCTGTTTGCCTCTGCTGCTTCTAAATCATGCTCTGCCCCTTGAGATTATCGTTGAGCACCTGTTGACAAAGATCTATTTCATGCATCTGTTTAGAATTTGTGATTAAAACCAGGGAGCGGTTTATTTTTATTTGTTTATTTTTTCCCAGAGAGGCAGTGTTGTCTCTTTACAGGGGCTTCGTTTCCTAGGGACCTTGTTGTACATGCTGATGAGTCTGAGATAGCCGTGCTGGCCAGTGACTCAGAGGGGACATGAGGATGCAGTGGTGGTTAGGCCCAACATCCGCAGCGAGACATGAGCTCTTGTCCATAGCTCACCAAGAATTAGAGACGTGGACATAGGTAAACAAGCAGAGTTTACTAAGAGAGAGAAGGCAGAGCAGAGCTTCCAAGTGGAGAGCGAGTCCCCAGTGGGTTGCCGACAGGAACTGAGGCGAGGGGTTTGCGTCCAGATGAGAGGGGCTTGGTCCAAGCTGGTTCCCAGGTACTGTATGCAGTTTCCTCGTGGTGGGGGTCACATGCCAGATGGGGCCTCATTTCCTAGGGACCTTGCTGTACACACTGAGGAGTCCGAGATAGCAGTGCTGGCCAGGAACACACTCATCTGCCCTGCAAGGAACCCGCTCTACCCCACTCGGCTTTTCAGATATTCGTCACGCGGGGCCTTCCAGGAAGGGTAGTGAGGACAGAATTCTGACTCCCTTTCCTATTCCAAGGTGGTTTCCAGGGGGCCTGGGAGAGCCAGGCCTACAGACATAACAGAGGCCTACCTACGAATGTTAACCAGCTAACAGATTTAACAGAGCTTGGTTCGTGATGGTGGGTGCTACATCCTGTCTCGGGCATAGTGTTCACGATGCCTAAAAACATCTCTTATCTTGTAAAGCACAGCCATTCTTTCGCTGATTTTCTTTAAGAAACAGAGACCTGTGTTTTTCTTTAACCAATTACTAATCTTTAGAATTTTAAACTCACCTGTAACCTATGAGCCTCCTCTTCCAGAGGTCCTACCTTTTTGGGCCAGGCCAAAGTAAAAGCCTCCCTATGCTGATTGACAGCTCTTCTGCTCCCAGAATTGAATAAAAGGAACCACTGTGTCTCGGCACCCTGAAAAATATTTATTTTTGTCTTTCTTGGGCCAGATCACTCAGTGTTGTGCTTAGTAATAAACCACATTAATTATTATTTCTGCAGAGTTGCTTATTTCCCATACTTTAATTCAATTTTTACACATTTTGAAGTCTTCCTTGTACTTCTTTTTTTTTTTTTTTTGGAGAGATTTTCACTATAGGGTGTGTGCGCTCGCCAGACAGAGAGAGACATAGAGACAGAAAGCGAGAAATCACCCCCCAGGGGGGATGGTCACGCTGCAATCCCTTCTCTTCCATTCTCCTCTCGGGATCTTGGGCACGCACGCACACGCGCCCGGCGTGAGTTTTAAGCCACTGGGTCCGGGACGCGAACCGCGGTCGACTACGTGGGAGTCCAGCGACATAGCCATTACGCTAACTGCTGTTCCCTTCCTTGTACTTCTTTAAGAAGACAGATTCATTTAAGAAAGCAGGAAACGGGGCTGGCAGGTGGCATGGTGGATAAAGGCACTGGATTCCCATATGACCAACCATGGTTCGAGTCCCAGACCTGGTGGCTTGCTTTCTCACTTTCCTTCTCTCTGTCTCTTTCTGGTTAAGTTAAAAAATAATAATAACAAATGGGATTTTTTTATTTTGGAGAAGTTTTTTGCTATAGGGCACATGTACTCACCAGAAAGACATAGAGAGACAGAGAGACAGAAAGTGAGAAATCACCCCCTGGGGGGATGGCCACGCCGCAATCCTTTCTCCTCTATTCTCCTCGGTATCTTGAACATGCACACACACGCACTTGTTGTGAATTTAAGCCACGGGGTCTGGGACTCAAACCGTGGTTGACTACATGGGCATCCAACGACATAGCCATTACGCCAACTGCTGGACCCCCCCCCTCTTTTTTTTAACAAATGGAATTAAATAAATTATTCTTTAAAAAGTCAGGAAACAAGGGAACCAGCAGTTAGCGTAATGGCTATGTCGCTGGATTCCCACGTAGTCGACCGCGGTTCGTGTCCCGGACCCGGTGACTTAAAACTCACGCCGGGCGCGTGTGTGTGCGTGCCCAAGATCCCGAGAGGAGAATGGAGGAGAAGGGATTGCGGCGTGACCATCCCCCCTGGGGGGTGATTTCTCGCTTTCTGTCTCTATGTCTCTATCTGTCTGGCGAGCGCACGCGCCCTACAGTGAAAATCTCTCAAAAAAAAAAAAAAAAAGGAAACAATTCAGCAAAAATGTTCGGCATCTTAGGAAGGATACAGGAAAAAGAAAGAAGCAAAGGGAGGTCTTTCTGCTTGTGGTTCGAGCCATTGTTTTAAACGGAATAACGGAATACAGAGGCCAGCAGCAGCATGGTGGTTAAGGTGCTGGGTCCCACATAGCTGACCCTGCAGCTGAGTCTCAGACCTGGTGGCTTGAGAAACACAATGGGTTCATGTACATGCTTTCCAAATGCTGAGAGGAGAATGCAGGAAAAGGGATTGCAGTGTGGCGATCCCCCAGGGGATGATTTTTCAGCGCCCCCTACCCCCCATGAGCACATGCATCCTATTGCACACACACAAAAAAAGTTTGGAGATTTCCCATAAGAAGCAGATTTCTGGCATCTCTCAAAAACCCAGAAGGAAGCCCATTCGGCAGTCCCCACGCAGTGCTGCCGGCAGCCTGTAGACAGCCTGTGCTTTCTCCTCTGGGCCGTTCTCCCACAGGGTTTTCCCCTACTGATGACGATGATTTGTGTTTTTATTTTCTGGCCCCTGAGGAGTCTTGCATTTCCAGTGCCCGCCCTAGTGCACTTGACCAAATGAACCAGCCACACACCTTCTGAGCCTGTCCCCCTGCTGGAGAGTGCCCAGCATGGCAGGGGCGCTCGTGGGGCTCAGGCCGTGGGCTGTCCAAGTCTACAGCCCCCAGGGAACTTGTACTTTCCACCCTCAGGTCTGTGCCCAGAGCCTTAGCTTTCTGGAGTGGGCATTTCACCTCAGCCTCCCATAGGCCATGACGGCCTCTCTTGTACAACTTCCGTACAGCTCAGGATCCTCCAGGTTGACTTTTATATCAAGGTAGGAACCACAGAGTCACAGCCTGCTGGCCACAGCTAGCCCTCTGGAAGTGGGCTTTTGAGGCCCAAAAGCTAGAACCAGTTAGCACTGGACTCGGTGCGGAAGAGAAAGTCTCAAGATGGAATCCCTAAAAGCTTCAGCGGGCCGCTGTTCCCTCCCTTGTGCACAGTTGAGGTTGAGTCCCAGGCCAGATCAGGGTCTCCCTTCTGTTCCACGTGGGGTTGCCCTTTATTGGCACCAGTGCCTGCGTTTTGTTGCAGGATTAGGCAGAGTCCGTTCTCGATATGCAGGAACATGCCGAGAGGAGCAGATGGATTTAAGGAGCACAGGAGGTATCTGTTGTGTGCTTGGTTTTTATCCAGTAGAGCAGATTCAGAAGAGTCTGCCCAGTCTCTAAAGTACCAAGTGGTCTCTCCTGCCCTCCTTTCTCTTCGCCCATCCTGTCAGGTGAAAGCATTGCTAGAATCTCCTCTCTGGCTTTCTGTGTAGAGAAAGTGAGAGAGCAAAGGAATGTGCTATTTCTTAAGGGGATTAGCAGGTAAAATGTTTCAGCGCTTACTGGAACTCAGACAGCAACACCTGTTGGGCAGTACAAAAAGCAGGGTTTGCCCATATTTTGTAGGGCTGCTGGGTAAACAGTAAGGTTAGTTGAATTATCTGCAGTGCATTCTCTGGTTTTCACTCTTTTGTAAATGGCAAGTTAGCCATTAAGCCCTGTTTCTACAGACTGGCAGTGAGTTCAAACTTTGTGTATGAAGTTTGGCCTGCGGTTAGTGTATTTTGACAGCTTATTTGATGACTTCTGAAAAATCTCACTAGCTTGCATGAACAAGAGACCCCTTTTCTGCTGCCTAGATGGGAACAGAGAGGAAGCCTGGGTGAAGTGCCTCGGGAGTGATTGGGGGGCAGTGGACAGACGTTGGGACTCCAGTCCTGAGTAAGCAAAGGTTGTAGACTGTCTCACGGGCTCTGAAGAAGAGACACTACCTGTGAATAGCACCTGTTTGCATTGTAACTGTAGTACAGGATGATAATGGGAACATTCAAAATGAAGGAATAATATTATTTCCCATACTCAGGTTTTTGCTTTTTTTCCCCTTAATTTTCTGTAGGGTGTATGTACTTGCTGGAGACAGCGAGACAGGGAAAGTGAGACAGCACCCCCTGGGGGGATGGCCATTCCACAACCCCTTCTCTTGGGATTATGGGTACACGCACGCACACACACACAGAGGTAGCCCGTGTATTTTTTAGGCTGTGGGGTCAAGCTATGTAGTAGGCCATATGGGATCCAGCACCTTACCCACCATGCCACTGGCCAGCCCCCTATGCAGATTCTCCTTCTCCTTGTCTGTCCCCACTCACCCCATTTGCTCCTGCATACTCTCAGATGGCAGTGAGAGCTCTCACCCGTCAGCTCTGTGCTGTGGTGGGCCCAGGTTATGGCTTGTCTTCATGCCCCTCCCGACGGTTCTGTGAGAAGCCACTTCAGTTCTACTGGACAGATGAGAAAACCGAGACTTGGAGAGGGTTGCCCAGCGGGTGATAGAGCTGCCCGGGGGAAGGCCCTTGGCACCTCTAACCCTTTGCTAGGCCTCGAGTATTATTCTCTGCCCCTTTTTCTTAAACCCCAGACACTGGCGCCAGGGCCCAGTAGAAGCGTGAGATCTTCCAGGGCCGTGGTGTGGCAGTCGCTCTTCAGTCCCGTTCCTCTGTGTGCTCCACCCCTGCAGGCATCATGGCCATCCTGTTCTCAGGCATCGTGATGTCGCACTACACACACCACAACCTCTCCCCAGTCACCCAGATCCTCATGCAGCAGACCCTCCGGACCGTGGCCTTCCTATGCGGTGAGTGCTGCCTCAGCGTGGCCCAGCTGGGCCTACCCAGAGCTAGCCCTGTTTCCTCACAGCATTTGAGGAGCCGAGATTTCCTGTGGCAGCAGGGCAGCAGGAGACCTCAGAGCCAGATACGCTCCCTTATCCCGTTTATTCCTTTGGCTTTGACGTTCCATAAAGTAAACCTCACACCTCATATGTGGAACATTTGATGTGCCCAGTTTTATCACTACCGAAAGTAGTGATAACTGCTGGCTAGGCATAGTTAAGACATGTATTTTCATGTATTAAAATGACATTTAATTTTAAAAAATGTATTCCTTGGAAATGATACTAATGAGGATTAGATGAAGAAGACTCCACAGTCAAAAAAAGAGTTCAGACAGTCCTGGGTTTGGGCCAGCCGGAGGCATGGTGGTTGGGGTGGCTGGATCCCTCATGGCCAACTGTGTGGTTTGGGTTCTGGAACCAGCAGCTGGAAACACGCCAGGGGTGTGTACAGACATGCCCAAAGTCCCGAGATGAGAATGGAGGAGAAGGAAAAGAAACCCTGGGTTAAATCAAGTGCGATGAGTTTACAGATTACAAGATTTCCCAGCCAGTGTGCATCGTGAATTTCTGAGACGGAGACGTAGTTACAGCGTTTCCCAAACTTGCCACATAGCCCTCGTTCACACGAGTGTCCTACAGGCTGTCACCCTGGGTGGAGGAGGGGGTGGGAAGTGTCATCTGTGGGGCTAGGAGGGCCCATGAAGAGTTTTTCACCTGAGCAAGAGCTCAGTTCGAGCTCCTCCCACACTCAGAGACACCTACGTGTTCCCTCCCCAGATTATACCTGGGAATGGGAGACCCACTCACACTGTCCCTGTGAGGTGCCCCCCAAGTAGCTGTACCCCTGACGTCACCAGCATCACCCCTGGCAGTTCAGGGAGGCCCGTCTCATTTTGAAGTGCTAGTTCCACACTGGCCTATGCTGGGAGGCAAAGGCAGGTCATGCAGGGACTTCTGTAGACAAGGAAGCTTGGGGAAGGAGGTCAGATGACTTGCCTGCATCTGTGGCCACGAAGCAGGTCTGAAAGTCAGGTCTCTCTATTCCTAAGCTAGTGGGTACTTTTTTCCACAGCACCCCTCTCAAAAAGTTGAGGCTAAAGATCCTGACCTTGACTCTCTCAATGAAAGGAATTAACAGCCAAACATCCATGGAATTTTATGTCGTACCCATCAGATTGGTAAATTTGGAGTTTGATAATAGGTGCTCTGGGCACGGGCGTATCAGAAGCAGGCCCTGTGCACTGGGGTGTTTGTTGTCACTTATAGTATCAGGAATAAAAATCGTCTACATATCCTTCCACCAAGGACGGGTTAAATTAACCCTGATATACCCAGGGTTATATACTAGAAATAATGCTGCCAAGGAAAAGCATAAAGTAGATCTGAAAGCATTCTAAATGTACTGATTTGGAAAGATCACAAAAATATTTAATAAACAAGAAAACATTTCAGGAAGAAAGATGAGTATACTATCCAGGTCGTGTACATGTTTTAAAAGGATACACACTTAAAGGAAAAGCTTTGCTGAAATGTTTAAAACCACCTCACGGCTTTATGAGAGTCACCTATTTTAAAATACGGCCTTTTCTACGTAGTTATTCGGTTGTTCCACGGGATGTCATCGTGTCAGCAGAAAAGCTATTGTAGGACATTTATAAAGTGCTTTCCTTGAACTACACAAGTGACGGCTTGTACAGAGGTAAATGTCAGGCTCTTGGCTTGCAGAGCCGAGGTGAGAGCTGGAAAGCTCTCTTCCTTCAAATCCTGCTGGGTGTAAGCCTCCTCTGAAACCCTGCGACAGTATTAAATCTGTTAACTCAATCATTTGGCCTTGCCACTCTGGCAAGGAAGTTAACAAAAGGCCCTTTCACGCTCGTCACATGGCGTCCGCAGTCACTGGCTCTGAAGTTTTGCCACTTGCCGCCGCTGGGATCCTTGCTAATCGTAGCCTTCAGCAAGTGGGCAGATCACATGTGTAGCATCTTCCCAGGCGGGATAGTGTTTATTTGCGTAAGTATTTGCCAGTTGTCTCGTTGTATTAGAGATTTGTGAATAGCAGGGACTTGTTGCTTGTGTGGTAGGCAGGAACAAGAGGTTGAAGGACACAGTTGGCCAAGATGCCGGCTGCAGCAAGTTCACTAGGCAAGTGTTAAATCGGATTCCGACTTCCAAATGTTTGCTTGCTTAACAATGTCGTACTGTGTTGGAAGGAAATAGTTGGGGCTGAATAATCCATTCTTTGGTTTGTTTCAGAAACATGTGTGTTTGCATTTCTTGGCCTGTCCATTTTTAGTTTCCCTCACAAGTTTGAAATTTCCTTTGTCATCTGGTGCATAGTAAGTATTTTCCTTGTTTTTTATTTAATTACTTATTTGTAGATTGATAACCACATGTTCTGGACTCATTTATGTAACTGTTAACTGTTCGAAGTCAACAGTTACATAGACACCCTTCTGTTTAAAGTTTCTTTTGTTAAAAAAAAAAAATCAGACGTGTAGTGGGGGGAAAGGATGGAATTAAGCGAAGGTATATTCCTGAAAAAGGACTTCTGTTGGTTTTAAATGTTCAGTCATCTTGAAAGTTAGTTTTCTTTAAAAAGTACAAGTTTATGTGTTTTATATTGGGTTATAAGAGCAGATTTCAAAATTGAATATGTAATTGATCATAACCATGTAAAAATACTGTGTGGGCAAAAAATGGAGTCAAATGTTTACAATGGTCATAAAACTAGGGGTGATTTCTTTTTCTTTTCTACTTTTTCTTGGTAATTTATAATGAATATACTCACTTCTTAATGCAGTTTTCATCAAAGTTGTCTACTTAAAAGCATGACCATGGACACTTGTTTAAAATACAGACTGCCAGGCCCTTACTCCCTGGAGAATCATCCAGAGGGACCATCCAAGGAGATGTTTATGAACAAGAAGATTTGGGAAACAGTTTTAGAACATGACAGGGGTGGCATTTGGAGACAAATAAAAATATACCTTTAAAAAAGGAAAAGAGAAGTTTAAACATTTGCAACAGAATCAAACCATTTTTAGTAATAGCGTGGATAAAGATAAGTGTTAAAGAAAGGTTCCCTGGGCCAGCAGGCCATACCAGCTGGCCAATTGCAGGGTTTGAGTCCCTGACCTGGCAGCCTGAAGAGATTGCTAGGTACATGTGTGTGGATGCCCAAAATCCTGAGAGGAGCGTGGAGGAGAAAAGACAGCCATGTGGCTATCCCCCCTGGGGGAGAGGGAGTGGATGATTTCTCACTTTCCCTTTCTCTTTCCAGCGAGTACATGTACCCTATAGCAAATCTGAAAAAACAGAAAAGAAAAGAAAGGTCCAGGCCAAGCCATGATAGTGCTTGCTGGTTGACATGACTACTCAGCAGATTGAGGCCACTTGGCTGGCCAGACATGGATTCCCACCTACTCTTTAAAGTCAAACATGGTGGTGTACACCTGTAAGTTGAAGTCGGAGGACAGAGACATTGTGAGACCCTGTCTTGAAAAGATGAAAATGGGATCAGCAGGTGGCATGCTGGTCAAAGGTGGTCTCCCACATGGCCAACCACAATTCAAGTCACAGACCTGGCAGCTTGCTTTCTCATCTTCTCTCTTTCACTGGTGAGCACATGTGCTCTAAAGCAAATTAAATAATAATAATTCATTTAATTAAATGAATAATTCTTTTTTAAAAAAATGAAATGAAAATGTCCAGCCCCCTCTAGCATCTGATCAAAGTGACATCAACGACTTCTAACACCGGGCAGTTAGCTCAGTCCCTTGTCTGTGTTTCCTTACATTTCTGTTCTTGCCCTGTGAGCCCATCTCCTGCAGGCCCTACTGCTGATTCATACTCTTAAGCCCTGTTATTATTATTTTTTTTTGAGATATTTTTGCTATAGGGTGCATGTGCTTGCCGGAGAAACAGAGGCAGAGAGACAGAAAGTGAGAAATCACACCCCGGGGGGATGGCCATGCCACAGTCCTTCTCCATTCTCCTCTCAGGATCTTGGGCAGGCATGCCCACGCACCCGGAGTGAGTTTTAAGCTGGGACTCAAACCACAGTCAACTATGTGAGAGTCCAGTGATGTAACCATTACGCCATCTGCTGGTCCCTTAAGCCCTAATTTGATCTCTTTGGTCTCTAATGCCCAATTTGAAGCACTTACTTAAGAAACACAGCTTTGGGAACCAGCAGTTAGCGTAATGGCTATGTTGCTGGACTCCCACGTAGTCGATCGCGGTTCACGTCCTGGACCCGGTGGCTTAGAACTCACGCCGGGCGCATGTGCGTGCGTGCCCAAGATCCCAAGAGGAGAATGGAGGAGAAGGGATTGCGGTGTGACTGTCCCCTCTGGGGGGTGATTTCTCGCTTTCTGTCTCTATGTCTGTCTGTCTGGTGAGCGCACGCGCCCTATAGCAAAAACCTCTCCAAAAAAAGAAAAAAAAGAAACACAGCTTTTTGTTAAATTATTGTCACTCATGTTCGGTTAACTTTTATTGCAACAACTCTTAGAAAAACAGCTTTTAGGAGGAAACCCTTTTAGTGCTGTCACCTACCATGTGCAAATTGGTAAGGCCAACCTGGTTGGCATATTGGAAAACTGAGACCCACTAAGAAAAAAATGTTCTTGCAATCTGAGTACCCCCACCTCTCAGCAAGAACTGTTTGTCACTATTATCTGTCCTCCTACTCAGATTTCAGGAGGAGAGAACTTTTTACAGAAGGTATAACCGTCTTTAGGGTGGCCACTGGGCGAAAAGAGCCCCATTGGATCAGACCTGGAGCAGGAGTGTAGAGATAGAAGGTCTGATTTCAGCGAGTGCAGCAGGGGGCAACTGTCTCCGGCCTAGGAAGGGGAAGGGAAAGGAGAAGCTGCCTGGGGTGATAGCTCGGTCCTCTGAGCACACAGGCTGCTCCAGGTGGATTACAGCCCCTCCTGTAGACTGGTCAGTGGTCAAGAGCGTGGCTGCGGGATCTGAACCAGGTTTGAGATGTAGCTCCCCCTGTCTGCCTGGTCATTACTTGGTTTCCTTGTCTGTAACACCTACTACGCTCAGATTTAAACTGAGCGAGGCAACACATGTCAACTGCTGGGCACATGGTTTGGCATAGAAATGTTGGATGGCTGGGAGCAGTTTTTAGTTTTTTTGGGTTTTTTTGGAGAGATTTTTCGCTATAGGACGCATGCGCTCGCCAGACAGACAGAGAGAGACATAGAGACAGAAAGCGAGAAATCACCCCCCAGAGGGGATGGTCACGCTGCAATCCCTTCTCCACCATTCTCCTCTCAGGATCTTGGGCATGCACACACATGTGCCCGGTATGGGTTTTAAGCCACCGGGTCTGGGACGCGAACTGCGGTCGACTACGTGGGAGTCCAGCGACATAGCCATTACACTAACTGCTTGTTCCCGAGAGCAGTTATTAATGTGACCATCCAAACACACATCCACAGCACAATGAAGATAGACTTGTTGAACGAACAAACTGAAAGCTTGAAGAATGGGGCCAGCCCCGTAGCCTAATGGTCAAGATAACTGGATCTCCCACGGCCAGCCCTACAGTTCAAATCCTGGCCTGAGCAGTTTGAAAAACATGCCAGGTACATGTGCAAATGTGCCCAAAGTCCTAGCAGGATGGAGAGATGGAAGAGAAGGGATTGCAGCATGGCCACACCCCATTTGGGGGTGTTTTCTCTCTCTGCCTCTCTCTGGTGAGCACATACACCCTCTTGGCAATAAAAAAAGAAAAAAGAAAAAAAAAGTCCTAAAGAATGTGTGTATGTCTTCAAGTTAGATAGGTTGACAAGCAAGATGAAGAAAATTAAATTAATAGTCCAGGAATCCACTCAGATAAGACTTAAATGTTCTGCAGTGCTGTATTTCCTTAAGAACAATGTGCCTCTGGAGGTTAGAAACTGAAAGACATGGCGAGCAATGGGCTCGGCATGGTGTGGACGGCCTCCTTTAGAACCTTGCATGTCTTCCTTTTGCCCAGAGGTCACCACTTGCTCACATGGGTGGACCCTTCTCAGTCTTCCCGATCCCTGAGAAGCAGGGACCCCACAAGAGGCAGGAACACCTTGCGGGTCACTCCAGAGTAGGCCTGGAAGGATGATCAGCTCAGGCCTGTCCCCTGGTGAGGCGCCTTTAGAGTCTCATGGCCCTTACATTAGTCTCTAGATACTTCTGCATGGCCTCCCGGCCTTCAGTTCTGTCCTGCTGTCATTCCCAAAGCCCTCGCTGACACAGTGCTAATCATCTCTTGTCCTGTTACTGAAATGTACCACCAAAGCCTTACCCTTTCCCAGACGCACAGAAACTAGCCTCTCCAGCAGCACACCCATGTCGGGCCTCCGGTGAGTGTTGCACTAGCCGGCCTTTTCTGACTGTGAGGGAGGCTGCGTTTGTAATGGTGTATTGGTTTGGCTTTGGCAAGCTTCAACTTGAGGAACTAGATGTTTCCCCTGAGACTGGTCCGTTGCTGTTCGCAGGTGCTTGTGCTGTTTGGCAGAGCGGTAAACATTTTCCCTCTCTCCTACCTCCTGAATTTCTTCCGAGATCATAAAATCACGCCGAAGATGATGTTCATCATGTGGTTTAGCGGTAAGTCAAATCCCGAGTAACAGGTGGAGGGAGGCAGGTACCTGGTACAAAGGTGCACACTGTGCAGATAGGGCACGTGGTCATCTGCTAGAGCACTTTTTCTTTTTGGAGAGGTTTTTGCTATAGGGCGTGTACGCTTGCCAGACAGACAGAGAGACATAGAGACAGAAAGCGAGAAATCACCCCCAGGGGGGATGGTCACATTGCAGTCCCTTCTCCATTCTCCTCTCGGGATCTTGGGCATGCACGCACACGCGCCCAGCGTGAGTTCCAAGCCACCGGGTCCGGGACTTGAACCGCGGTCGACTACGTGGGAGTCCAGCGACATAGCCATTACGCTAACTGCTGGTTCCCCTACCTGTGTTTTCCAGGCTGACTTAATGGGCCCAAAATAAAGGTGAAAGTTGTACTCCTGTCAGTTTTGAATACTCTTGGCCTCCATCACAAAGTTCTGGTGGTTTAATTTGAATGTTTCAGCTGCTGTTCATATTTCTCTGCTTTTTCAAGATGGAACTGGGCCCGGCCAGTGGTGTGGTGGTTGAGGTGACTGCATCCCACGTGGCCAACTACATGGTTTGAATCCTAGACCTGATGGCTTGAAAAACATACCGAATGTGTGTGAGCACATGCCCAAAATCCCAAGAGGAAAATGGAGAAAGGATTATAGTGTGGCCATCCCCTAGGAGATGCTTTCTCACTTTCCTTCTCACTCTGTCTCCTTCCAGAGAGTACATATGCCTTCTGGCAAATTAAAAAAAAAAAAAGGAGGAGGAGGAGAAAAAAGAGGGAGCAGCAGGTGGCATAATGGCTATCATGTTTCTGGACTCAAGTGCCGGACCCAACAGCTTAAAACTCACTCTGGGTACATGTGCATGCGTGCCCAATATCCAGAGAGGAGGATAGAGAAGGGACTGGTGTGGCCATCCCCCTGGGGGGTGATTTCTTGCTCTGTCTGTCCAGCGAGTGCACAGGCCCTATAGCCAAAATCTCTAATAAAAACAAAACTAACGATAATAAGACTTCTGTGGGAAATGTTGGGAGGGGACATATTTTAAATCATGAGGGCTGTTCGGGCCCTCTGTCCATGGATTTCCATCCTGTCTTCCCCAGACCTCCGTCTCCATGAGCTTTTCTTCATTTCATGTGCCCTCCTCTTCCCCAGCAAAGCACCAACAACCAGCCCACCCCTCCTGCCGCTTCTCACCGCCGTCAGGGTCAGGGCCGGACCTCTCGGGCTCCCTGGCACACCTCCACTTCTGCACCTCCTGTCTGCGGACTGGTCACCACTGAGCTCCCGCAGCAGTCCTGGTGGGCAGCAGGTGGCGGCCAACCCTCACCCTAGCCCACCTGCTCTCATTCTGGCCCTTTCTTGCCCTGCGTCCTGACACAGGCCCTCCTCATCCCTCTTCCTGGCCCTCTGTGGGAGTCCCTCCTTTATTGACCCCTCAGGACTGGGCCAGACCTGCTCCTGGTCTCGTGGTCTCTGCTGAGAGCTCACCTGTCCTCTGGCCTCAGCTCCAGCTAAATCTCCTCAGCTCCCCACTGTTCCCTCTTGGCCTTTCTCTGGGATCCGGATTCCTGTTTCTTGCTGTTCACCTGGTGTCATGAAGTTACCGCAGGCCATGCTCTGAGACTGAACTCCCTGCCAACCCGCCGCTTTGCCAGCATCTCTGTCCCACAGGAAGTAACAGTATTGGCCATGCTCAGGGAGTGGCCGCCGTGCCATGTTTGCGGGTGCACACCCTGTTCTCAGTGCATTACATGTGCCTAGTCCTTCCTCCAGCCCCTGGGTCAGGACTGGTGAGCTGAGTGCCATCAGAGAATTGGTCTCTTTTTAAATTAATTTGTATGATCATTTTGCTGAGTCTAAGTATTCTTATATAAACAAAAAGAATAGTAATTTATTTTTAAAAAAATTATAGATTTATTATTCACTATAGAGCATGTATGTACACAAAAGTGAGTGAGAGAGAGAGAGAAAGAGGGAGAAAAGCACCTTCTACAGGATCTAGTCATGTGACAAACCTCTCCCTCTGGTCTTCCAGCCCATCATTTCTTGTGCACTTGCATGCATGCTCAGGATGTTTCAGGCTAATTAGGCTGAAGATTTGAACTGTGGTGGGGACGAGCAGTTAGCGTAATGACTGTGTTGCTGGACTCCTACGTAGTCGACCGTGGTACGAGTCCCGGACCCAATGGTTTAAACTCATGCCGGGCACATGTGCATGCGTGTCCTAGATACCAAGAGGAGAATGGAGGAGAAGGGATTAAGATATGGCCATCCCCCTGGGGGGTGATTTCTTGCTCTGTCTGTCCAGCGAGTGCACAGGCCCTATAGCCAAAATCTCTAATAAAAACAAAACTAACGATAATAAGACTTCTGTGGGAAATGTTGGGAGGGGACATATTTTAAATCATGAGGGCTGTTCGGGCCCTCTGTCCATGGATTTCCATCCTGTCTTCCCCAGACCTCCGTCTCCATGAGCTTTTCTTCATTTCATGTGCCCTCCTCTTCCCCAGCAAAGCACCAACAACCAGCCCACCCCTCCTGCCGCTTCTCACCGCCGTCAGGGTCAGGGCCGGACCTCTCGGGCTCCCTGGCACACCTCCACTTCTGCACCTCCTGTCTGCGGACTGGTCACCACTGAGCTCCCGCAGCAGTCCTGGTGGGCAGCAGGTGGCGGCCAACCCTCACCCTAGCCCACCTGCTCTCATTCTGGCCCTTTCTTGCCCTGCGTCCTGACACAGGCCCTCCTCATCCCTCTTCCTGGCCCTCTGTGGGAGTCCCTCCTTTATTGACCCCTCAGGACTGGGCCAGACCTGCTCCTGGTCTCGTGGTCTCTGCTGAGAGCTCACCTGTCCTCTGGCCTCAGCTCCAGCTAAATCTCCTCAGCTCCCCACTGTTCCCTCTTGGCCTTTCTCTGGGATCCGGATTCCTGTTTCTTGCTGTTCACCTGGTGTCATGAAGTTACCGCAGGCCATGCTCTGAGACTGAACTCCCTGCCAACCCGCCGCTTTGCCAGCATCTCTGTCCCACAGGAAGTAACAGTATTGGCCATGCTCAGGGAGTGGCCGCCGTGCCATGTTTGCGGGTGCACACCCTGTTCTCAGTGCATTACATGTGCCTAGTCCTTCCTCCAGCCCCTGGGTCAGGACTGGTGAGCTGACTGCCGCTCCCCACCGCCACGTGTCTCTGAATTCCATCCCCTTCTCCCCCCCACTGTCTCCCACCGCAGGCCCGGACTGCTGCAGCAGCCTAACCCCTTCCAGGCCCTGGCACCTATTCCCCAGTCTAACGTGAGGCCTCGGCCCGGTGCCTTAGACAGGTCCTGCCCTTCTTTGCTACCCATTCCTCTCCTCCCTCCTGGCACTCGCAATCTCATGAGTCCCTGTTTGCTGACTCTTTGCCACCCTGAGAGCTCCCACCAGGGCAGTTAAGACTGCCTGTTTCTTCCATGTGGCGCCAGGGGAGCCAGGGTGTTGATGAGGAAGTGCCCTTTTCCAGCTCGGTCCATGCCCTGCAGTCCAGCTGGCAGCTACCACCAGGGCAGCCCAGAGCCTGTCAGGGATGCCAGGGGGGCCTGGAGGGCAGCATCCTCAGATTCTGGGGCTCTGGACAAGCTGCATCCTGTGTTGTTGGCCGTGTTGGCCACCTGGCCCCAGCAGACACGTGACGACCCTGGTCTGAGTTCTGTGCATCATGGAGAATGGGAGCGCCCACTTTACGAGGCTTCCCATGGTTCAGGTGACCCTATGTAGGCAGAGTACACAGCATGGCTGGGGGGTGGGGGGGGCGG